ATGTATGTATGTATGTATGTATGTATGTATGTATGTATGTATGTATGTATGTATGTATGTACGTATGTATTTATGTATGTATGTATTGACATACGAAGGTCACATTAACACTGGTTTAATAAGAGATTGCTCTAAAAACAGTTTCTATTCCTTTCGAAACCCCTTATCATCTACAGAAATAGGCGTACATTTGGCTTATTTCGAAAAGACCTAACCTCCGGATACTTGATACCGTTTGGTCTATATCCTCGACCCTAAACCGTGTACCTTCGGAGGCCCTTTTTGTGTCTTTCATTCTTGTTGCTTTGTGTCTGTTGGTTTGGAAAAAGGTGTCTGCTGTTATTTCATCACCAGATTATCACCATTTGCTCGACCTGTCCATCAAACCCACCAAAGCCCCATCAACCATCCCGTGGTATTTGGCCAGCCCCTCATCCTTCTCTCCGCATCCACTCGACTTGCCTTTCGCCCCGCCCAACTTTTTGGCCTCGTTTCAACGAATTTGTGTAGAGCCGTAGAGGACGAGCAAAAGTCATAATCAACAGGCCCACAAAGTCACCGAGTTAACAGGCTATGCAAAGACCGATCTCGTGTCTGTCTCCAACTGCCTTGCTGTACCAGGCAGATGGCATTGATTTACATCAGCTCTGCTTTTCTCCTCGTAAAACTTTTTGAACTCCTCTTTCCAACTACTGGTCTGCTTCCGTCACCCTCGTTTGGTCCCGTGATGACAACAATCAACTAGGGTGTCCACGGCGCCTCAGAGACCCTGACTGTCTTTATTTACAGAACAGCCTGGCGACGGCAATGCGCCAGGATACGGGGGTCTGTGAACGGAGGGGATGGCCAACTGCCTTCCTATCTGTTCGCCTTGAGGGGAGCTTTCAAAAGTTTCACATTCAATCCCGTTTGCTCCACCAGACAGGGCCTCATGGATGCACTCTGCGAGCCCTATTTTCCCTCAATTTGCCCGACTTAATATCGTCTCGTCACAACTCCTAGGATGGGCATTTTGTAGGCTTACCGGCAGGCCGGCCAGTCAGCCTGTATCTGTCTTTGTTTGGGCCAACTTGATTCACATGAGGCAGGCGAGCCTAAATACAATCTTTCATTTGCATGCAGACGCTTTGGACAAGAAGCTGCAGCTTCAGTCAATCCTATGATTTTTGCCCAAGAAGTTGGTATGTCCAATGCGATCAGTCTCCAGCTCATCAGTCGGTCTATTTACTTTTCCAATCTCCACCTCACCCCCGCCTGTAGAACCACCGCCGCCTCTCATAGACACAGGTCCGTGCATACACTTTGAGGCACACTTCGAGCTCTTACTATTAAGCCCTCCAGACCGTGGTTTGTGTCTCATTTCAACTTGTCTCCTGACCTGCCCGCCCTCTGGACCGGTCGTGTGAAGGTCAGGCATCTGGGCCGAATCATATGAAGCTTCGGTTAACGACTGTTGAAGGCCAGGCTGTCAGTGTTTACTCTTTCCTATAAGGTATGATCTGGCTTGAGCTGGAAGACACCGAGGCAGGGCCAAGTGTGTCGCCACTAAAAGAGCATCTGTGCCAGGACGTGGGTAAACCGATCTTAGTAACTGCAAGCTGGGGATGTGTGCTTGTGTATTATGTTCGGATGGTGTCGCTAGAGTGGATGTGTTGGGGTCTGATGGCTCTGTAGGTGGGGCGAACGAGCTCATTAGGTGGGCTTTTCTGCCTAATGCAACGGAGCGCCTGGCTTCATGTGCTGCATGTAACATTGTGTCTCCTTATGACTGTGTGTGCATGCAACTGGGTGCTGATGCACTCCCATTTGACTGTATGTGTGAATGGGATTAATAGCGGCACACGAACTTTGGGTAAACTGCCCGAAAATATAGTCGACATGTACATCGGGTATAAGGTACCGAAAGTGATTTGTTTTAGTTTACTTCCTTGTTGTGGTCCCGGTGGGACGATTGACTGAGTCGCCACCTCGAAGCACGTAGACTCTTCCCATTGTTTTTAATAAAACATCCTTTACTATTTTTCGACCTCATGGATCATGGCCATCCATGTTGGTCCGATGGAACGTGTGGGCCTCTGAGTGTTGGGAAATCGGCTTTCTAAATTCTCAGGTGGATAAAAGGTATTTTGGATCTTAGATATGAAGATAAAGATGGTATGGCCTTCTGTTTAATCGCAATCTTTTTTTGCTTCATAGTCTTGCTTCAACGTTGTTTTCGCAACATGGTCGGAGTGTCTGGGCGACCTTGTGGTACGTACCTAATGCTGTATCCTCTGCCATAATATTCATGATTCCCATCATCGAACCATTGACTTGGTACATTCCCAAACGTTTCGCCGGCATCGTCAGTGAAAAGTGCCATCAACAGCACAGAGTGGCAAGTGATCAAGTAATCAAATGACAAGTATTGTACCCGGTAAATCCGGCTCATAGATGATGCACTTAATGGGGTAGGAACAGATTAGAGAAGATTTGGCAGCTGCCAGGCTCCCACCAGCACAAACGATGCTTTGACTTCGGATTTGCCCCCCAAAGGGCATTTGATGCCGAATCCGTAACCAAACGGTAGGTAGGATTTAGCACCTGGCCTGTCATAGTTTAGAAGTAGAGAATAGCTCTTTTACTCTCTCTTCGATCTCACTTTTACGCAAATAAATGCATCTTCGCCTAAGGACTTCTTCTTGTTGACTAACAGGGAACCTTATCCTAATCTAGTTAGGCAATTTCTAAATAAGCTCCACGTTGCTAACCTCAGAATTTGCTGAAAGCAATTAGACTGAATGGTATCTGCTGCAATAGCTGATATTCTTCCGGCCCTTTGCATCTGCCGCCCTTCCAAACTATTGGTCAAATCCCAAACACTTTTGTTTATATGAGATGCATTCAGACTATTTCGTTAAGATGATGAAGCTGGATGAATGTAATGTTAGGTGCATTTTATCACAATTATATGAGTTAACCTCACATTTTCATTGAAGTATACACAGCCTTTGTTCTCAGAAAGTATTATCATCCAAGGTGGACTGCAGTTTCGACCTCGGCTAAGCTGGTTTCATCAGCATTTCCAGCGGGACTCGAACCGTGACACATTAACCACTACGCCGCATTGTCACTAGTGCCTTTGGATCACAGAGTAGATGTGAATTCCAGGGAAGGTCAGGCATTTCCCCATGTCACATCCTGTGGTTAGATTGGCTAAAAACAAAATTGTACTTGCTACAGCAATCGACTAAAGCATTTATTTTTTGAAGACCTGCTTGTCCACGAAAAATGAATAACGTATTCG